TCAACCTGCACCTTTCCCTTCACACTGCTCTGGGAGAAACCAGGCAGGCTTTGGAAGCTTTTCTGCTTTGCTGGCAGTGCCATGATTCACCTGGAGTATCCAGGAAAATTCTCACCTGTGAGGAAAACCAGGATGTCACCTTCTGGTTCATTTAAGTGAACATCCAGGGCAACCTTCACAGCCTGGAACAAGCAACAAACAAGCTAAAATTAGTTGAAATCCCATTTAATTCTTGCTAGGACTCATCACACCAACTGATCCTCCCCTGTTTCCTGCAGAGAACACAACACAGCACATTCTTGTGGCGTCCCCCAGATGAAAATCACCCCAAAAACAGAGAGAAAACAAACCTCTGTGACATAGGCAGAGCTGCCCACATCCCTGGGGCTCAGCAGGTTGCAGAATATCTCCTTGACAGGGTAACTTCTCCCTGGAATGTGCAGCACTGAGCAGTGCCCAAAGAACTCTGAGAGCTTTTCCACCTCCAGGGTGGCTGACATCACCACCACCTTCATGTCTGTGCTCCTGCCTGCTGGCTTCTCCTGCAGGAACCGCTTCTTTAGCAAACCAAATAAAATATCCTAGCAGAAAAACAGAAGCAGCTGATGTTAATACCCTGGTTTTGTTAGAAGAGCCTGACAAACTTGGAATTTTGATGATTTTATCCCACTGATACAGTGAAAATCACATATTACAGGCCCAAGCACTCTGAAGAAAACACACATTTGCCCTTTCTAGAGTTTAATGAATTTTTTACCAACTCTCCTCACAGCCTATAGACAGCATCAGTGTAACTCAAACCCCTTTGTATTTCATTTTTATACTCTCTTGGTCAAGTCATTTGTGAGAAGTTTCCTCAAACCCATTTTCCAGCCTGTGTCCCCTGACTGTGTGTGCACCCTTCCCTGGTTTTATTTATTGCTACAACCTCAGCAAGTTTATTTTACTCTGTGCTGCTCTGAATTACAAGTCTGCTCCTTCCACCACCTTCAGCTCAGTTATTTGCAACTCCCTCAGATGCCTGAGGGCAAACTGGGATTCAGGGGAGCATTTTCCCTTTTCCCAGCTGGACTGGGAGATTGTGTGCTGGAGCAGGAGGTTGTCTGACACACAGCACGACCTCCTGAGGTCTCAGTGACCTCAATGTCCCTTTGCTGGCCACAGAAGGGCCAGGGTGACCTCTGAAAGCTTTTGGGACTCAGGTCTAGATGCTCCCATGGACCCAACAGCCATAATCTCTTTGCACAGTCATTTACACACCCTAAGAAACATTGGGCCTTAGGGCAAGGAGGAGCTTTGGCTTTTTTTTTTTTGGTGTATTTTGCGATGGTTTATTTTTTAAATTATTATTCTAGAAAGTCTGTGTTCTGGCTTCAAACTCCTGGAAATTTTGGGAGAGCATTCAACAGCCAGCAAAGTTTTAACTGCATTTAAATGTTAAAACTCCAACACTATTAGAGGCCATAACTTATTTTCAGCATAGATTAAACAATGCAGCACTTCTGTGCTCTTAGGACAGCAAAAGGACAAAGCACATCCACGGAAAGTCAGTCCAAACCCCCGGGAATTGTGCTGAAGGGAAAGGAAGGGATAAACAGCACAGAAAAGGAGAAACAGTGACCCAAAAAACAGCTATGAGGTGACACTCACAGTGCTGAGGCTCCTCTCGTGGGCTTCATCCAAAATGATGACACTGTACCTGCTGAGGAGGGGGTCAGCCAGGATCTGCCTCAGCAGGCACCCATCAGTCATGTACCTGATGGCAGTGTCCTGCAAGGTTCAATCACACTGTCACCTGCCAGCCTGGCTTTTTATTTCACAGCAAACACTTCTACACACATCACACATTTGTCCAGCGCGCCACAAGGGTTTTCCTTAAAAGATATTTAAGGGAAGATAAAGTAAAGGGTGTTGATGAACCCTTTTGTTATAATATTCTGGCGCTTTGGGGCGGGGTTTTATTGTGGTCATCATAAACTAAAGATATTTAAGGGAATGCCCATGCATTGATGTAGGATTCTACAGCTAAAATAATTCCTATTGTGCATAAAATAATTCTTATCATGCACAGCAGCACGGGGGTGCTTGGCAACGTTCCACCCGCAAGGTGCCCAAAAACCTCCCCCAAATGAGCCAGAGGACACAAACAGCTGGGAAAAGCTCTGAGACAGCCTGGGTGACCCTGCCACATGCCCAGGACAGTCCCCAGGGCCCCACCTCGCAGGTGCAGTCGTCAAATCGGACCTGGTAGCCCACGAGAGTCCCCAGGGCACAGCCCATCTCCTCGGCCACCCTCTGTGCCACCGACACGGTGGCCACGCGCCGGGGCTGGGTCACACCGATGGCACCGTGCTTGGCCAGGCCTGGGGGGACACAGAAGGGTTTGGGTTGGAAAGGACATTAAAGATCATCTCATTCCACCCCTTCTTGGGACATCCTTCCACCATGTGTTGATGCAAGCGTTCTCCAGCCTTGGATGCTCGCAGGGATGGGGCATCTTCCCTGGGCAAACTGTGCCAGGCTCTCCTGTCCTCGCAGGGAACAATTCCTCCCCAATATCCCCCTAACCCTGCTCTCTGGCAGCGGGAAGCCATTCCCCGTGTCCTGCCACTCCTCCAGGTACTGGGAGTGTCTCTAGGATCACCCCCGGCTGAACACCCCCAGTGATTGTGGCACACGGGGCTGTGCTGCTCCAGGTCACTTTATAACACCTACCTAGGCAACGTACACACGGCCACAGTTTGGGGTGGGGTTTTTTTATTTAAAAGGTTTAACCAAGCCACCTCCTCTCACCACAGCCCAGCCCCAAGCTGCGTCACCCGCGAGGGGACAGGGGGACTCAAAACAATTTGAGTTTGTGCCCTACATCCGCAGCCCGCGGACGGGGAGGGGGGCGGTTCCGTTACCTGCCTCGTAGAGATACCTGGGCAGCTGCGTGCTTTTGCCGCTGCCCGTCTCGCCGGTGACGATGAGGAAGGGCCGCTCCCTCACGGCCTGCACCAGCTCCCGGCGGGAGCGGCGGATGGGCAGGGCGGGGCCGTCCATGGCGGCTCCCGGGCCTCACCTGCCTCACCCGAGGCCCCGCCCACCCCGCGCACCTGACGGGGAGCCCCGCGCGCCCCCGGCGGGAACCGCGCGCGCCCCCCGCGCCCCGCCGGTGCCGCGCGCCTCGCGCATGCGCGCCACGCCCCCTCCGCAGCCTCCTCGTTAAGCCACGCCTCCACGCAGCTTCCCGCCTCTTCCTTAGGCCACGCCCCCGCCGCGCTCCCCTCAGGGCGCCTCAGCGCAACGGGATTGCCCAAAAAATGACAAAAATCGCCAAATTACAAAGTGCGAAGGGTTGGAAGGACCTCTAAATCAATGGGCGGGGAAAATTCCCGCCAGACTGGTCTGCTCAGATTTATTTCGTGACAAAACTTGAGCCTTGAGTGCACACCTTAATGTTCTGATGGAACGACCCTGATTAGAAAGAAAGCATCTTGCCACATATTCTAAAATCTAAGAGACAAGAAACTATCTCGAATTCTGTCATAAATCAGAGTAACATTCTCTTTCCATAGATCAGCTAAATGTCATAATGTGTTGCATTAGGCTGTTACACAATATTGAACAAAACACAATTGTACGCATATAGAAGATAGTAAAATATTGATAAACAAACATGCTGCAGCAAATCTTCCTTGAGAGAGAAAAAGCTCCTTGGTGTTTGATCTTTTTATACTTTCAAGCCTAATCAACAAGGGATGAGATTGAATCTCTGAAACAGAGAGCAGCCAACAAGTTCTAAATGACGTGTTAGAAAAAAAACAAATTACTTGTTAGAATTTTTACAAGTTTAGGGCTGGACATGCTCCAGTGATGTCAGACTTAGGGGCAGCTTAACAAAGCTGTGAGGAAAAAAAGGATAGCCTTGGTAGTGGACACAAAGAATGCAGAATTTAGGGGACATCTGGCAGAACTGCCAAGATGTGGAAGAAACTGATAAACCCAACTCAGCTCCAAGTGGGTAAAAGGTAATTCTGGTAATTCTGTGACCACCGACCCAAGAAACCCACTGACCCCAAAGAGAAGGACTCAGCACGGCGCTAATTAGCGTCAGAAGCGAATCATTAACCGGCAGAAGATAGAATACTAATTAACGAGTGGACTATGTGACTGGTGGCAAATGAACACTAATTCCTTTGTTTGCTAAAACGTGTAAACAGTAAAAAGTTTTGATGGCTGGGGTGCCTGATCTGTGAGGTTCACCCAGGCTTGGCAAGGCTGAAATAAATAATTGATGTCTCTCTGCAGCGCGCAGGTGTCGCCTTGTTGTGCTGCGGGTAACAAATGTGATTTTTAAGGACATTCATAACCCCAAAAGTGCCTGTGATGAACAAATGAAGGCGCTGCAGCTCCGGCTGTGAGTTCACAGCAGGCCTGAAGGTGGCAAGCACAGAACACTGAACACACACCAGCCGCAGTCCAGCTCTCCCGTTTTTCCCCAAAACGCGATTTTTTGTGGTGTATTTTGCCCGTAGCTCAGTGCTTTCTCCCCTCACACACTGTTGTTTCACCCTCCATTGGGCTCTATCCGCGAAAAGAAGCATACAGTAAATTTGGTGTCACACCAGGAGCAAATTGAGGCCACCCGCTGGGTCTGAATATTCCCAAATTCCCTCAATTTTTGCCTCTGGCACAATGGGAGAACTATTTCCCCACTAGGAACATGCACTCTGAGGCTTGGAAGATATTCCATAGGTTCCATCAGTTAGCTTTGTCTAACCTACAAATAATTGTTTCGCCTGCCAGCAAGCAGGCATTGTAAAATCCCACAATAAGCTGGTTTGTGACAATCTGACAAAAAATAGTGGAACGTGCCAATACACTCTATGTTGGTACACCCCTTTATGGAAAATACCAAATTTATTGCCTCACCATTAACTTATGTCATGTTGCCACTGGTAATGTACAGTTAATGGTGATCATATACACATTTGAAACTGCAAACACACCCTCATTTCACTTTTTGCTGTGTATTTGCCAAGAAATATTTAATGGTTTTAATAGACACATTTATGCACACTGCACACTTGCAGTCTGCATGATTTTATTTAAATCATATCCTTCTTTTGGCAGACACAGGGCTAGGTAAGGTTTTTCAATCCACTTTTTTTTTTCTTTTTTTCTTTTTTTTTTTGTCCTCCCAGCCTGGGAATAGCAGATTTGGTTTTAATCAACCCCTTTGCAGTCTTGAACTTTGTCCTCCTGGAATACAGTGCCATTCATTTAAGGATTTCCCCCGTCTAATAAACATTAATGAAGCACACTTTACAATTCCCCTGTGATCTTATCTCAGTTCCACAGATGGGGAAAACAGAAACAAATTAAGGGGTCTGCACACACCACAAATCAAAGGCAGAGCTGGGGGAAGAACCCAGGAATCCCAGCACAATTCCCTGCTCCAATAACTGAGAAATGTGTTCCCATCCCTGCAGCTGCTCTGGCAGCAACTGTGTTGCACAGGGCAGCGTTGTTACCTTCAGGCCATCCAGGAAGACTAAAATTGCTCTTTTTCCTGAGGTTTAGCTCCCCACAGAACTGCAAATTTTTGTGAGGTGGCAGAGGGCCATGGCTCTGCCAGCTTCCTCTGCTGGATTATCCCTCAGGATGTCTTTATTCCCTTCTGAGCAGAGGCTCTCTTTTCTTTTCTGATTAGCAGAGATCTAGCAGGATGTGGGGAATATTCCAGTCCCCGCTGGTACACCGTGGGGTTTATCCATCTTTCCCAGGAGAGAAGCCTGATTTCTTGGGGAATTTTCATCTCCTAGCTCTGGACAATGTGGTCCGTTCCACGTGCCTGCGAAGAAAACCACATCTATTAATTACATCCAGCAAGGAAAGAAAGGTAATTGTCTTGTGCCTGGAATCTCTAAGTAGGGCCACTCTCTAGAATAACAATCCTTGAGCTGTGAGGATTTTTTTATTTTTTTTTTTCAGCAGAGACAGAAGAAACCAATGTTCCCTGCAAGCTGCACTCCTGTCAGACACCCAGCAGTTTTTCTGACAGCCAGGATTTTTGTGGCACTGGCTGTGAGTCATTATTGAAGAAGTGTTATTCTTAAAACAGAGGAAGACTGCTGGAGAAAGGAGGTGTTAGACAGGAAAAAACCCAAACCCCTTTCACACCTCCATCTGCTGTCTTACAGTGCCTTGCTACCAAACATTTACAAATTGACAAGTTTTATTGCAAATCTTGCCCTTCTTGTTAAAAATTGCTTCTTTTTGAAGACATAATCAGACATTTAGCCTTTCTCCCCTACCATGAATATATTTTCCTTGTGTTTAGCTCCATGGAAAACAACAATTCCTACAATGCAGCCTTCTGCCAGGACAGCCAGGTTATTCCTAACTGCACTCCCAGGTTTCTGCTGAAAACAGGCTGCAGGAAATACAGCACTGGCAGGAATCTGCACTGGTTTATCTTGGCTTGTCCTGCAGGTGGGCAGTGTCCAGCCAGATCCGAGCTGGGAATTGCTCTGGTGGAATAAAATATTTTTGTGCTGGAAAGGGATTTGCAGTTCTCTGCTGAGAGCCCATCTCAGCTGTGGCATTGAGAAGCTCCTGAGCCAGCTCTGGGTGAGCCATGGCACAAAGGGTGACAGAAGTGCCACAGCAACTGCTCATCCTCTTGTTGGTGGCCTCCCAGCCCTGCCCAGCTCACCCCAGGCCGATCCCATTCCCCTCCCAGCTGCTCTGGAGCTGTGTCTGCACATGGCCCGGACCTGCAGTGAGTCACAGTCACACTCTCAGGTCTCTGTGCCCCAGTTCTGCAAACCTTTCTGCACAAACATCATTGTATTCAGCAGAAGAGACATGGTGTACTCACTGCAGGCCTCGACTGATATTCTTACAGCCCTGTTTTCTGGTGTACTCACTGCAGGCCTCGACTGATATTCTTACAGCCCTGTTTTCTCTTTAAAGTTGGTCTAGGAAGTGATTTTGTTGATTTACCCCCCTCACACGTATGCCTGCTTCACCCTTTTTAAATTTAACTCCACTGTCAGATCTGCAGCTGTTTCCGAGGCCACATCCATGAATGATTGCTGCTCCTGCCAGGTGCAAGCCTGAATAAAAAGGTCACAGGCTGGGGAGAGGATTAAGCTTTGGCTCAGCTGTTTGCATTCTCACACAGAGCACGGTCTGTCCATCCATCTGTCTGTCAGCCCTCACACACCATCCAGACAGGTGAGAAGCTGAATGTTGGAAACAATTCAGTGACGCTCGTACAAAGCCACTACACCCTGTCTGTGGTTTAAAAAAAGCTCCCCCAGCAATCCTCCAAGCAGCCCTTGGATCAGTGAAATTATCTGTGCAGAAATATAAATGCAGAATGGCATGGGAACAGTCTCCCTGGAGACTGGGGCAGGGCAGATTGGAGAATACCTAAATCTCTAAATGGTGTCTGAGATTTTTCGTGTTAAATTGGAACATTTTCTTCCCACGCTTACCTAAGGAGATGAAGGGAGGCAGCTTATGGGCACTTAGCACATACACTGAGAGCAAAAAGGGAAAAAAATCCAGGAGGCAAGGAGCAGATCCATCCCCCTGGATCTTCCTAGACCTGAAGTATTCCACTGATTCAAGGCCTTTTGTACCTGCAGCAGTGAAAGCTGTTGGCTATTTTAAGACCTTCTCACGCTTGCACTTCTGTTTCAACCCATGGGAGGCTTCCAATCTATTTCTGTATATTAGGCATCCTTCCTCTTCTGACTTCCTTATCAAATGTGCAAAACAATCACTTAGGCCCTCTGTTCCCATTAGAGTGCACCATAGCTGTGATTTAAATATATTTCTGTGACTGTAGAATGAGCAGATATCCTAAACTACCCTGGAAATGCCCTCTTACACATGACAGCGTCTCCTGACACCCAAAGTAGTTTTATTTCTCCAGCTGTTAAATCTAGGACAAAATACTACTCTTTTTGTTCTATATTAAGACCATGGAATAACAGCAGCTGACTTCCCAGCCTCTGTCCTCGTGGAGGGGAACAGCAGGATGAAGAATTAACCCCTGGCATGAGCTTTTCTCATGCTAAGTCATTAAGAAAAGCCAGATCTCCTTGATGCTCTCCTGGATAACAAAAAACTGGAGTTGATGAGCTGGGGGTTGCCTTCCTCCCCTTCCCATGGCCCTCACCACTTACTGTAGGTCCAGGCTCATCTGGGATTTTCTTCCACAGCCTTGTTTAGAAGGACCTGAGGCTCATGTAGCTTAATTAAGGATAAAAAAGCAGGTTTGAACTCTCTTTCCCCTTACCACAGACACTGTCGCACCTCCCAGGAATGAACTCATGCCTTACACCCTCATTTTGGAGGGGAGGGCTGAGCTCCCGGAGATCAAGTGACTTGACCAAGGCTCCAGGAGTCACAGCGTGTGTCCAGAGTGACAGATACTCAAGTGCCACATCCCCCAGACTTGAGGGATCTGTCCAGACCGAACAAGTACCAAAGCTTCTTACCAGAGACAGCCTGGAGATCCAGGGAAAAGGACAGAGCCTATCAGAGCACAAAAACCCCCTCATATGTTGCCTGGGAATCTACAGCCTCTCCCATTTCCTCTTGTCCCCGTGTTTTACCTTTTGGTATCATCAGCTCTGTGTGTCCACACATCCAGCAAGGAGGGCAGAGCACGGGGCAGCCACACACGTCCTGGTAATGACTTCACTGCTTCCACCAGCTCTGGAAAAAACAAAAACAAACCCAAATCCCCACTCCTGCATAATTGTGGCTCTGTTATTCATGGATCTTCAATTGTACTCCTTCATGAATTTTAATGTGCAGTCCATTTTCTTTCCACTAATCCTACATTAGGCTGGAAAACTTTCTAGACTGAACATTTGCCCTCCTTCGCTTTTCATTCCCGCAGCAGCACCGAGGCTGCCTGTCCCCAGGCACTGCCCTTGTCTCAGCTGGGCTGGCACTGAACTTCAAGCAGCATGAAAGTGTTTTCTTATCAGATCCCCCAGTTCTGTGCATCCCTGGCAAAAGCAGCAGGGCGGCTGCCCAGGCAGCCTGGGAACAGCAGCTCTTTATTTTGCCCAGGATTTGGATTTGGCAATCTCTGGGGCGCAGCGTTGTTTGAGGCAACGCCTGTCTGCAAGTCTTTAGTACCATGCGTTTATAAATCCCTTTTTCCAGCTGAAACCATCTCCACAAGTCATCAGGAAGGAGTGAAAGCCTTTCAGGAAATTCTCCTTTCCAAGGAATTCCTGATGAGTGGCACACAAGAGCAAACCACAGACGGTTCCACACCACCACAAGCTCTGAGATGCTGAACTGCCCTATTTTAAATGATAGGTTAAAAACCAGACAGGACCATGAGATACTCTCATATCACCTTCTGCAAAATGCAGTTTGAGCCTGTTCTTTCAATACTAAATTGAATAATTTGCTCAGCTGAAGTGATGCTTCCAAAGGGAAGATACCCAGACTCAGTTTGGATAGAGGAGGAAGCCACCATTTCCCTTGGAAACATCCCTGAGGAATCATTCTGCCAGGTCTGCCCTGAGGAGTGGAGCTTAAATAAATTGAGGCAAGATGTTCTGTTTGTGTTCAAATGCTAAGAATATCTCAAAGCCAGCCCTTCCATGTGTCTCCCAGAACCCTTATTAGATGAAAAAGAAATATAGCACAGTTCTCAGCTCTGAACTTCTAAAAATATGAGAACTTTGATATATAAATGCATGTTGAGGACCTGGCTGGCGCTGACTACAAATGTTCCCAATTGCCTTTAATTCCACACCACTTGCAGAACCAGTGGTGATATTTCTTTCCCAGGATATCCAGAACACACCCAGTGTTCTAAGGATTCCAGCCCTGGGGACACTTTGTGTGCCATCAGTGCAACAGGCTGAGGCAGGAATGAATGGGGCTGAAAATCTGATTTGACTTAAACAACACTGACCTGACCAGGAGCGAGGAGTCTGAACCAGGCCTGCAAATCCCATCTGTTTCTTATTTCTATAACGGGCGAGCTAAAACCCTAAATCCACACAGCTCTGAGCTTTGAAGCCAAATTTTGCAGCTTGAGTCCATTACTAGCAAATGATGACTGCTAGCCCAGCTCCTTTAATTGAGGGCTGGGATTTATAACTCAACATTAAATGAAGGAGACATATTGCAGGGTGACTAACAGCTAATCTGGGAAGGCACTTGGAGACAGAAATTCATGGATTGGTGAATAAGTTGGCCCACCTCTTTGCTCTCCATAAAATTAATATCAAAACATTCATGGTTAATGATGTTCTGAGGGTTAACTGATGTTTGAGAACCCCTCAGATGCTCCTCAGATGTTGGGAGCTTATAAAACCCTGCACTAACTCTCTTAGTTATTGTATTAAGTTACAGTTTTTGCTGGGTTTTTTTTTGCAGCAATTTGATGTCAGGAGAAAATCTAATCCATAAAGCAAGCAGCTTTTTAGCTTTGTGAATAATAAAAGTGAGCATATTCAGAAAAAAAAAAAAAAGAAAAAAGTCTGTTCTCTGTCCTTTAATTCCCAAGAACAAAGCTGGAGAAGGCTGGTCCCCAAGTGAGGATGGAATTTGGCAATTCCATTCCCATTAGTGCAGAGCAAACCTCTTAAATATATAATGGCTCAAGGACAATGTGGATTGGAAAAATAAGCTTGGAACTGTTAAGGCACCTAATTATTCTCCATCCATCTACCTTCACATTAAACCCCAGGGTTTGATGCTTCCCTGGCTGCTGGGGCAGCCACTGAGTTTTTGAAGTGATGTTCTGTTTATAGAATTGCAATTACTCAGTATCGGCCTTTGTTTGGAGAAGAATCCCTGTCCATCCTCACTAATGGCTTCTTCTGATCTCATCCAGTGTGGAGGATTTCCTGAGCATATTAAAAACATTCTTCACTCTGCCTTTTTAGTTTAGCCAAAGATTTAACGACTTCAGCATAAGAACTGTGTGTTTGAACTGGATTTGCTCCCTGACAGCTGATGCTGTGCACTCTGTTCCCTCCGTGTGCTCACAGGCACAAGGGGAGTGCTTGAACTGCTCACATTTGAGATTTTTTTGGGGGTAAGAACCTGTGAGGGTGGTGAGAAGGTGTTACCCAGAAAAACTGTGACTGCCACACCCCTGGAAGTGCTCAAGGCCAGGTGGGATGCAGCTCTGAGCGACCTGATATTTTTAAAGAGTCTCTCACTGTAGAGATGAATGAGGATTGGAAAATGTCCACAGCACAACCAGACTTAATTCCCCTGCAGGGCACGTGAGCAGCACTTGCAGCCACCTCGTTCTTTGGACAGGGTGAGCCTGGGCATGTAATTGCAGTTACTGTTTGCCAAAGTGGGGCATTTTCATGGTAGGTTTAATTTTACTCTCTGTTACTGAACTTACACCGAGAAAACAGCCCTGCAGGGCATGAAGGAGGCCAGGCTGGCAGTGCAGGGCATCTTCTCCCCTGCTGCAGTTCCTGGAGGAGAGGAGGTTAGTTAGCAAATTGTAATCAGTACCTGGGGGAGATCAGCACCTGAACACCTTTTGGGGGGTGCTGAGAGGCAATTTTGGGGTGCACACAGCTCATTAAACACATTGCTTAAGACATTCAGGACACAGTTTCAGTGTTGACATAAAAAGACACCTCATTGCCCCTGTCCCCTTGTCCTGTTGGACAGTGTTGGACACTTCTCCAGTTCTCCAGGTTTTGCTTCTCCTCTCAGGGAAAAAAAAAAAAAGGCAGGGGGGAAATGGAAAAAAAATAGAAAACACTCACTATTGAACTGCAAAATGACATTTCCCGCTTCATTCAATATCATCCTTTAAGCCTAAACTAACTTACATCTATGTCAAGCATAGCAGAAGTGTTTACAAACAAACAACTAAAGCAGCTGTGTGACCAAAATTTCCTTCAGCCAAAATATTTTTCACCCTCAGACTCATCAGACACGTCTGAGACACATATAATGACTCCCACCGGTGCACACTGACAGGCTGTTAGTGATTCTCCATAATTCCTTTTTTGTGCCATGAAATATCATCTCCTCTATCTAAAGCAAATTGATCTTTTCACCCAATCTATTTGACAGATCTACCATTTAGTATTCAATTACTAGTTCAAGAATAAAACCCGTTTGTGATGCAGACACCAGGAGCTCATGCTGGGGGCTGGTGTCTGCATCAACCCCAGGTTTCTGGAAGGCAGAAAAAACCCCTTGGAGCAGCTGCTGCCTCTTTTATATTTATAATAAATAAGACAAATGCAAGAACTGGAGAAATAATCAGGGAAAAAGCAAAATGTTCTGGTCAGGGCTGTGTTATGGGTGCAGGGTGGGCATGGAGGGAGATGGATCATCTCTGGAGGAACCTCCTTGGGCTCGGCAGCTAAATTGTGACCACTTAATTAAACCTTTTGAAGTGAAAGACCTTAAACTGTTACTGGAAGGAGCATCAGCAGTGGCTCAGAGGGATCTCAAGCACAGCTCTCCAGGCTGGCTTTGCAGAGATTTTGGGATGGGTTTGCCAAGGAATCCGGGCTCCATCCCATGGGTGACAATGACCCCGCTGCCCTGGGGTCCTGCAGCAGCTCCTCAGCAGGAGGCAGCTCCCAGCCTCATCCCAATTAATCATCTCCTAATGACTTTCTGAACTGGGAGGATTTCCTTAATTATACCACGCATTAGACTTTAATCAAGAAATCAATTTTTCACGCCACCCCAAACCCGCGGGTGCGGGGAGAGCCCGGCGTGTCCCTCACCCTGCACAGAGGGGAATTATCAGTGGGATTTGGGAGCGCTACGTGCCAGGGCTCCTTCCCAAAGATTGAATTAAGCTCCCTGTGCTGCCCCGTGCCTGTGCCCCGCTCAGCCAGCACTTTTCCCGTGTGTTTTCCAGCCATCTGACACAGCTGCCAGGCACGGCGGGCCCTCGTGCGCCGGCTTAGCGCCCGTGTGCCCGGCTGGACACGCTGGGAAGGGATTTGTGTTTGCTCCAAAGTGGCTTCACCCACTCCCACCGAGACCAACACAGCCCCTCGTGCACCTCCTGCCTCTGCAAACCCTCTGGAATGAAATATAAATCCTGGGGGTGCTGGGATCTGCTCCGGTGTGACACCGAGCTGTGATCCGAAGGAGAGAAGTTAATTCAGTATTAACCTCGCTGCTCTGTTCCACTTTGCAGGATGCTGCAAGGCTGAGTGCAGCAAAGGGTTCATCTGAACCTCCTGCTCACTGGGGAGGACTGATGGTTGTTCCTGGCCTGATCCAAATCCTGATCCATTTCCTCTTTCCCTGGTTTTGTTGGGATTCACCCCAGCCCAGCAGTGCCAGAGCCAGCGGCACTCCACAGGATCGCTGGGGTCTGGGGGTCTCACCCCAACCAGCAGCACATTCCCAGCACAGCATGGCTCAGATTCTTTACACTTGATTAATTACTGAGTGGGGTTTAATTCTCTCCTTTCTGAGGAGCTCTGGGTGGCAGAGCCATCCCCAGCCTGTTTTATTGTCCCCGGCACCATCCTTCCTCCCATCAACCCCAGCACAGATGATGAAGCTGCTGGGACAGGGCTGGGATTTCCAGTACCTGCTGCCTCTGTGAGGAACTAAAAATAAAAAAAACATCTGCTAAAAATACTGAATGATCAGGGAAAAAAATGCTAAACCCCAGAGATCTCCCTGGACTGCGAGGATTAATTTTAATTTCCCTTTAATCCGGACACAAATTGTGACGTCACTGCTGGCGGGCATGGCTCAGCTCCATGAACAGAGCTGGAGTTCTGCTTCCCCAACTTTTGGGTGCATTCCAAAGAAAAATGGACACACAACAAGCAGGAGGCCACGGGGTTCAGTGCAGGCTGCCAGAAATGTGTCCTAAATCCCGTGGCTGCAGCTCCCAGTGTGTCCTTCCCCAGCTCCACACTCAGAGCCAGGCTTTGTTCCTGCCTACAGCCAATTTTGGGGTGCTCTGATCCTGAACCCCACTGTGGGAAAGAGCAGAAAAAGGGACCAGAGGTCCCAGATTACAGCCTGGACTTTGAAAAATAAGATTTACCAATATTCTCCACTTTTAAGAGAAGGAGAAGAGCAATCGGAGCGAGTTAATTTGTGATCTTCCAAAGAGACAACAAAATTAATTCCTGGAAGGAATTACTCATCTAAAGGAGCAAAGGATATTATGCACTCAAAAACCTCTGTGAGCACTGCAGCAACCCCACAGTGCCCAGGGCACACAGCCCCTCCCTCCAAACCCTTGGAAAACCCTTCCCTGGCTTTATCCCGGCGGTGAAACACGGAGAACACGAGCACAGGGCACACACTGGGCTCTCCCTGCTGTTCCCCTCTCCCACATCCCACAGGGATGCAGGGGCGGGCTGAGCATCCTCAAACAGAAACTTTGCTCCCAGCTCCCCCACTGATCAGATAGATGCAAATATATGCGTGAAAAAATTTACATACAGAGCTTGTGCTGGGAGGAAAACTCCCTTAATTCCCAGGACAAGCCCAGGGTTTGGTGCTCCCCCCATGCAGCAGCTAAATTTTTGGGGTGGGGTTGGAAATGAAAGGAAGCAGGATGACGTTTTGGGGGTCCTTGGGCAGGAAGGGCTCAGCCTCAGGAATATTTTGAGCTCTGAGGGCTTGTGAGCAGACAAGGGCTTATAGTTTGAGGTGTGATTTATGTGCAGCAGCACATAAACACCTGAAACGGGGTCTTGAAAAACACCTCAGACTTCACCACAATGCTGCTGCTGTGGGGCTCCACGTGGAAAAAAAATAAGGAAAATGAAATGTAAGCAATTCCTTAAAAGCTGCTCCAAATGTGCTTTCAGTCCAGGAGTGATCAGAGAGGCAAGTCAATATTTTCCTGGAGAGGAAACGCTGCTGTGTTTACACCTGGTGCTGTTTGCTCTCAGTCCTGCTCTGTGTTTGCCCAGGGCAGGATGTGGGGAAGAATTCAGGGTTTGTGTGGAGGAAGCTCTGTGGTTTCAGGAGCTGCAAGGAATCTCTTTACTGGGTCGTGTTTCTGTGAATCTCAAACAAGGGGCTGCTGTTGGGCTGGGGCTGGGCAAGGTGGATAAAACCCAAATATTTAATTCAGGAGGGCCCAACCTGCAGCTCTGATCTGCAGGACTCTTCCCACGTGGTGGCTTTGCTCTGCTTTTTGGGAAGATCCCCCATGGCTGCCTTTCAGATTTTCTCCTCCAAGTGCTTGAAGGCACCTGACCCCAAAATTTGCTGTTTGTGCCACCCTCCTGTGGCAGATGCAGCAATGCTGGGTGCCACATGGCACAGTGGAATGGAGACACCCATGGCAATGAGCCCTGCAGCCCCTTCCCTGGGGAAAACTGTGTCTGGGCAGGTTAAAGCTGAGCATCCTCGAGATCCCACCCAAATCCTGCACCCTTGGGTCCCTGGCACAGCCACTGCCCTCTCGGAGCATGCAGCAGAGCTCACCCAGCCCAGGGTGCGAATCTCCACCAGAAAAACTTACAAGCCCCTGAAAATGGTGGCCAAAATCTCAATATTTCCCTGGGATATGACAGGATGAATTCACTGCCAGCTCCCATGGAGCTGAAGGGCTCAGGAAGGTGCCCCCATGATCCCTTTGCTCCCCAGCCTGGAAAGGAGCACAGAGCTCTCCCAGCACCCAACAGCTGCCAAAGGTCAGGATTAAGCTCCACAGCCCTTGGCAAGGGTTTGTGCAAAGAAATCCCCTCCAACACCTCGGGAATGTCTGGGCTGAGCTTCACCTCCTCTCACTCTTTGGAGATTGGGGAGGTTTGGCCGGGCAGGGCAGCTGGGCTCCCTGTGCCACCAGGATCTGCTCCAAATCTCCCCCCACGAGCCCTTAATCAGCTTCCACCTGGGATTAGCTCAAACATTCCCAGTCTCTGGTTCAAAATAGCTTTTCTTGCTTGTGGGCAACTAATCCAAAAGGAGCCCTGTCCCCGTTAGCCAGCAGCTCCAGCAAGGGTGGGGTTTTCCTAAGGCTTGAACCTTGCCTGGTTCCCAAATAGTTTTGGATTGGGAACTTTGGGCATGGAATGCACATGTTCAGAGCTGGGTTGTGATGGGGGCTCACAGGAGCAGCTCCAGTAAACCCAAGCAAAGCCTGGCCTGGTCCAAGGCAGGTACAAAGATCAAAAGAGCCCAGTTTGGGCTGAATTATTTGTATTTTGGGGGGAATTCAGGTTTGGCACAAGGGATTTCACTCAGGAGCTCACAGACCCTCTCCTGCTGACAGCAAATAGAGCCAAAAAAAACCTCCCTGTGTACCTGAGACCACCAGGACCTGGGGATGAATTGAGTAAAAAAACAGCTCTTTCTGTAGGATGGATCCCCGGAGCAAAGAACTGCTGAAAACCCACAGGAAAAAATCCACTCCCACAGCACCCAGAGGAGCAGGCAGGTTGGGGAGGGACGTGCAAGCAGCCACATCCCCAAGTGCAGCTGATGACGTGGCTGTGATTTAATAAAGGACATTATTAGTGCCCTGCTAATGGCTCCAGGCGCCGGCAGCGGAGCTGGCCAGCTTCTGGCAGCTCCCAGCCCAGGAGAGCTCATTCCCACCAGGCTTCTAAAGATTAAATTCACCTCCACAAGCCTGCAAAAGGATTTGCATCAACAGTCCCCCTTCACAGCCTCCTCCTGCTGCCCCCAGAACCGGGCACATGGAGCCACAGCAGCTCAAATCCAGCAGTCAGACAGAAATCCCACCTCAAATTAAAGATAACACAGCCTCAACCCTTCAGCCACTTCATTTCCTCCTGATAAAACCTGCTCCCACCTGGCTCCTTCCCACTGACCTGCCACAGCACTGAGCAGCAAAACCCAGCTGAGCTTCCAGCAGCAAACAGCACTCCAAAAAAAGCTGCCTCCCAGTAAAAATATATCCAGAAACCAGCAAAACCTGGGGATGGGGGAGGCACTGGTGATGGGCATGGCTGGTGGCCATCACTCCTGGTGTTTCCCTACCCTTTGCCTCATCATCAGTGATTGGGGTGTTGATGAGCTGCCGGGGGGAGATAAGGGCCCCTTGTCTGTCAGAAGTTGATGCTGACTGCTGAGGTGTTCATTTTTTGTGTCCTCAGCGCAGGAGTTCTGGCTGAGCCCCCGTTTTGTGCCACGAAGGCTCTGCTGCTTCCCCCTGGTTCAGGCAGCGTCTGCACCACGGTTCATCTCCAGGCAGGAAACTCCAAAAAAGAAAAATCCCTGTGAGGCAGAGATGGAGCAAATCCCCCATTTCCCCAGGGTGAGACATCTGCCAGCAAAGGCACTTGGCAAAGATGAGGAACCTGCGTCAGAGGCTGAACCCTCCCGTGCTCCAGCTCCTCCAGCACCAGGGCTTGGCTGGGAGAGGCCCTCTGTTTCTGTCTGAAACCTACATAAAAATAGCACAATTATGGGAAAATCCTTGTCCAAGTGGAAAAGAAAACACCAGCCTGGCTTTCACGAGGAAGCAGAGCTCCATAAAAGCGCTCCTATAGCGTTTGCTGTTTCTGTCAGGCGTCCAAAGCCTCGCTCAGAGCCCTTCACCCAGGGGCACAGCTCCACGGGGCGAGGTCGGGCCCTGCTAAAGGATTTTATGATTTTTTTCCCCCAGCATTTCACTTCACCTCATCAGAAGTTTCCATACACCGGGAACAAACGTCTGCAGGAGCCTTCCCTGTGCCCAGCGCGGGGCAGCCCCCGCCGGGAGCAGCTGCTTGATCCTGAGCCATAAATAACAGGCCAGCCTGGAAAAGCTCCATGGGTTGGGTTGTTTTGTTTTTTGGTTTTTTTTTCACAGAAGTCGAGCTGGTGATGTCTGTCACCCTCTGTCGCTGCTGTCCTTCCCTGAGTCCCCCCCGTGCTGCCCTCACAGGGCTGATCCCCTTTACAGACTTGGGGTGCCCTGACAGATGGAGGGATTTCATCCTGGAGAGGTTTAATTAAAGGTGCCCATCCCTGGACAAAGTCTGTGCTCACAACACCCCCAGATTCCCCAAAACAGAGCAGGACTCTGTGGGTTTTGGGGGCCACAGGGAGAGGGGTGGCAGCAGGGCTCTGTTATTTCCCCCAGAGTCCCCCCAGGCGTGACCACGTTCAGGTGACATTTCCTTCGTGCCTGGCCCGCTTCTGTGGGACATTTCTCGGTCAGCAACAGAGAACGGCCTGGGCTCTATTTATACCCCACCCTGGAGCCGGGTAAAAATATCCCCGGCGTGTTTGGCAGCCTGAAGGCGCTACTGTAAATCCTCCCTGTCAGCGAAATCCCGCTCGGAGGGAGCCGCGGTCCCGCTGGGAAAGGAGGCGCTGGGGAAGCCCGGGGGCATCCGTGAGGCTGGACCCCGAGTGCAGGAGGAAAGGGATGGAGTGAACCCATGGAGAGGAGCTGGCAGCGTCCCTGTGTTCCCAAAAGCCGCCTGGGAAGCAGAGCAGGAGTGTCAGATTGCTCCTGAACCGGGATTAAAGGCCATCCATCCATCCATCCATCCATCCATCCATCCATCCATCCCTCCCTCATCCATCCATCCATCCATCCATCCATCCATCCATCCATCCATCCATCCCTCCCTCATCCATCCATCCATCCATCCATCCATCCATCCATCCATCCATCCCTCTCGCAGAGCCGCTGCCGGAACCCGGGGCTGCTGCCGCCTGACTCAGCTCTCTCTGCCGGGCTATTAATAGCCCCGCTCGGCTCGGCCCGGCGCTAATTGCAGGTTAATCAAGAGCCGGGGAGGGGCTGTCCCGCATCCCCACCCGCGGCTGCTCCCTCCCCGCCCCGGGATGCGGGAACCGCCCGGTCCCGCTGCCCCCAGCCCCGGGGGTTCCACGCGGTCCTGGCGTTTTCCACCTCCATCCCACGGCCTGATAGGGATCTGGGGGCTCTTCCCAAGGCCACTGCTCAGGGACAGCCTGGAGCTGTCCCCCTTGCTGTCACTGGGATGCTCGCGGTGGGAAATGCCGAGCAGGATGCTTTTTCCTGGCGGGATTTTCCCTGCAGGACTCGCGGCTGGGATGGGGAACAAGAAATGTCCCCGCATCTGCTGTCCCCTCCCCACCCCAGGGGGTTCCCACTGCCCGCACCACACAGGGTTAAAACCTTCGGGCTTTTCCAGTGGGGTTGTAGGAACAAGCCCAGCGCCAGGAGCTGCCCACAGACCCTGCAGGTGATTTTTTGGGATGCCATTGTCCCCAGGGCAGGGACAGTGTCTCTCAGGGACACACCCAGGCTGCTGTGGGGCCAAGAGGAGCAAATTAAGGTTTTGGTGAAACCAAGAGCTCTGACCCCACTGCAGGGACTGTCCCACTGCCCAGGCCATGGCATCGCTCCCATCCCACCTTCCCTGGCCTTTCCCAGCTCCAGGAATCCCCCTAACCTAACCCAGCCCCTCTCAGGTGCAGCTTTCGGGCCGTGGCCTGAGCTCAGCCCCAGGTCAGGCTCTGAGTTCAGCTCTGAGCTGTCCCCAAACAGGGTTAAGTGGCTTTTTTGGCCCCATGGGGAATTAAGGGCGCTCAGCATCCCGGGGCACAGAGGGCACGGGGACAGGGCACAGAGGGCACGGGGATAGGGACAGGGCATGGGGATAGGGACAGGGCATGGGGACAGGGACAGGGCACGGGGACAGGGCACGGGGTGTCTGTCACCCTCTGTCGCTGCTGTCCTTCCCTGAGTCCCCCCCGTGCTGCCCTCACAGGGCTGATCCCCTTTACAGACTTGGGGTGCCCTGACAGATGGAGGGATTTCATCCTGGAGAGGTTTAATTAAAGGTGCCCATCCCTGGACAAAGTCTGTGCTCACAACACCCCCAGATTCCCCAAAACAGAGCAGGACTCTGTGGGTTTTGGGGGCCACAGGGAGAGGGGTGGCAGCAGGGCTCTGTTATTTCCCCCAGAGTCCCCCCAGGCGTGACCACGTTCAGGTGACATTTCCTTCGTGCCTGGCCCGCTTCTGTGGGACATTTCTCGGTCAGCAACAGAGAACGGCCTGGGCTCTATTTATACCCCACCCTGGAGCCGGGTAAAAATATCCCCGGCGTGTTTGGCAGCCTGAAGGCGCTACTGTAAATCCTCCCTGTCAGCGAAATCCCGCTCGGAGGGAGCCGCGGTCCCGCTGGGAAAGGAGGCGCTGGGGAAGCCCGGGGGCATCCGTGAGGCTGGACCCCGAGTGCAGGAGGAAAGGGATGGAGTGAACCCATGGAGAGGAGCTGGCAGCGTCCCTGTGTTCCCAAAAGCCGCCTGGGAAGCAGAGCAGGAGTGTCAGATTGCTCCTGAACCGGGATTAAAGGCCACTGGCGCTGCTGTATTTTTAGCTTCGTGATCATCCTTTGAAAAAAAAAAAGTCCCTCATTGTGGCCGGTGGGATGAGAGAGGAGTTGGGAGCTGCCCCAAGCTCGGCCCCGCTGCTCTTTATAGCCCGTGCTCTGGCCACGGGGAAGGTCACGGTGACCCGGCAGCGCTGTCACCTCACGGGGACCGGGGATTGATCCATCCCTCATCCCTCCATCCATCCATCCATCCATCCGTCCGTCCATCCATCCATCCATCCATCCCTCCATCCCTCATCCCTCCATCCATCCCTCCATGATCCACCCATCTATCCATCCATCCATCCATCCATCCCTCATCCCTCCATCCCTCCATCCATCCATCCATCCACCCCTCCCTCATCCATCCATCCATCCCTCCCTCCCTCATCCCTCCAGATGGGGAATTAAGGGTGCTCAGCATCACGGGGCACAGAGGGCACGGGGACAGGGACAGAGAATGGGGACAGGGCACAGAGGGCACGGGGACAGGGACAGGGCATGGGGACAGGGACAGGGCACAGGGACAGGGCATGGGGACAGGGCACAGGGACAGGGCACAGAGGGCACGGGGACAGGGACAGGGCATAGGGACAGGGCACAGAAGGCACGGGGACAGGGACAGGGCATGGGGACAGGGACAGGGCATGGGGACAGGGCACAGAGGGCACGGGGACAGGGACAGGGCACAGGGCCCTGTCACCTCCAGCAGTGATGAGCAGGGATTGCATGCACCCATCCCAAAATCCCAAACACAGCACTGCCTTCCAGCTGTGGAGGTGTCTGAGGTGCAGCAGCAGGAGTTGCTGTTTCCCATCCCCCGGGAGCAGCTCTGGATTTCAGGGATTTGCACAGAATAAAAGCAGAAACCTGGACCAGCAGCTTTAGTACTTGAAAATTTTATTTTCTCAAATGAGCACCAACACATATTGTAAATATGACAAACAATACGCCTCCCTCTAATACTGAAGAACTATATACAATGTACAAATACATGAAAAGGTGAAAACCAATTATTTGAAAACAAAACAATTGCATTTATGACTGAAGCAAATGACCTGAAAGAATATGCAAAAAAAAAAAAAAATTAAAATAAGATCAAAGAAATAAAAATATACACAATTTGTAAACACAAGAGCATCCATAGACAGGCTGGTATTGGAAATATTGTCCTTAGTTTTGTCAGTGGGGAAAGCATTCCCATTTCCTTAGGAAGAACAAAACAAAGGATACACACAGTTGTAACGATGAGAACAGCTTATTTGTGGTTGTACCTTACACAATGCCATTCTGCTTGCATTTAAATATGTTGATTCTTTATTTATTTATTTTTCTGAATTCAAGATGATTTCGTTTCCCCTCTTCTGCTTGTTCTTTTTCACCAGGATTTCTGCAGAAAATCTCTGTCTAACCTGATTGTTTCTGAGCACTGAGGCCTCTCCCGTGGTGGGAAGAGCTCCTTCCCACTGAGCTGAGCTTGGTGTTTGGTGTCCCCTCTTCATCCCAAAACTGCTTCACCTGGAAGCTCCTCCCAAAGCAGGGAAGTGCAGTGAAATGCATGATCCACACACTCTCACAGAGCAGTCAGAAAAATGCACACAGAGAGAGAATTCTCACTTGATCATCACGAGAACAGCGGGGTTCATTTCGCAGGGGTGGTTTTGTTCCTCTGGGCTTTGAAGTCGTGTGCACCAAACCCAGGGAATTAAAGAACTGCAACAGTTCCTGAACAGCTCCTTGCTCAGCAAAACACAGTCCAGTGGTTTGTGCTGTTGGTCCACTTTGGGATAAACAAGAGACCAAATGAAATAAAAACGAAGGAGGGTGAGAAGGGGGCAGATTAAAGACAGAAAGGAGAACAAAATAAATGAACTTTACTGCCAAGAGAGGTAAACTTTTACTCTAATTTGTTACGTAGCAGCCTGGTTCAAAAAAATAAACAAAACAAAACAACAACGAAAAGAAACTCCCCTCAAAAATAAAACCAGGATCCAAAGATTTGTGGTTTGGGTTAAAATCAACACTGGGTTCAAAGCTCCATCCCTGCTGCCCGAGGCTGCAGCTCCTGTCCAAACCCAACTCCTGCAGCTCCAGACCTGCTGCTCTCCAGCCAACCCTGGTGCAAGGGGAAACTCCAGGCCTGGATCCTCCACACCAGGGACAGGGGGAGCCCAGGGGATTCCTGCTGGGAGCAAAGGGGATCTGGGAAAGCCACAGGGGAACCGGAGCCCTCCTGAGTGCCTGCAGCCCCTCCAGCACAAATATCCCCCCTGGGGGCTGCTGTCCCCAGCCCAGCCACCAAATCTGTCCCCTCCCCTGCCACATCCACAGGAAACACGGATCCACTTCAGAGGACAACGTAAATGATGGGTTTTGTTTCCCTTTAAACATATTTTCCAAC